TTGAGCCCAGGAGTTGGAGGTTACTGTGAGCTGTGATGCCACGGCACTCTACCCAGGGGGACAGCTTGAGGCTCTGTCTCAAAATAATAAAAATAATAATAATGAAGTTGAACAGTCAAGAGAAAAATGCAGGTCCAAATACTAAAAAGAAAAATATTGTTAAATACGCTTTTAGTTCTTGTTGGCTGTAAAGATTTTGAGGGGCTGATTTCTTAAAAGAAGCCTCTTTGGATTGTTTTTTTAATGGCAGAAAATTCCTAAAGTCTTCACCACAAAGCAAGATGTAGAAAGAGGGTCCTATCTGGGCAGGGGTCGACAATGTGAGTGGTACCTACGCATCTCCCGAAAAGTCATATGAACTCTGATATCCATGCTACATGCTGGTCCACCTGGGTCTCTGTGGGTGGGACTCAGAAGCTGACATCTTTCAAATTCCTCAGGTGATTCCAATGTGAGATCAAGTTGAACTATTGCAGGTAGGAGTAAACCACAGCCATCAGGCCTAACGGTCACGGCCAGGCAGGATGGCTCACACCTGTAATCCCAGAGTGAATTGGGAGGCTGAGCTGGGAGGATCCCTTGAGAGTGAGACCCCATCTTTACTAAAAATGCAAAAACTAGCTGGGGGTTGTGGCAGGTGCCTATAGTCCCAGCTACTTGGAGACAAGAGGTTCGATTAAACCTGGGAGTCTGAGGTTGCTGTGAGCTATGATAATGTCATGGCACTCTACCCAGGGTGAGAGTGTGAGTGTCTCAATAAAAAGATCCTAATGCTGTAAATAGAATAGATAGTAAGAGACAGGTGCATTACAAAGGCTCTAAGGATATGAGCATTAGTCGCTTAATAACCACAGCTTGTAAAATATATCTTCAAATGCACTGATTTGGAATCCACATCTTCACCTTCACGCAGGGTCCAACAGCACAACCAAGATCCCTGAGTCCCCTGTGACATGGCAAAGTCAGTTATCTGTCAACTTCCTGGGGTTGACGGGGTTAGGGTTTGCAATAAGGTAGCATTATCGAAAAGGGCTTGCCTTTGGGGGAAGAGGCCCCAAGATTTTGTAGCAATGAGTTGTACAAAGCAAAATCATGAAGGTCAGACGTTGGGTTAGCAGACTAGACAGACAGTCCCACCCAGAGCACAAGAGCAGACGGTGGGGCTGAAACTTCACTGCAGTCAATTCTCCGGAAAACATACTGGTGCCAATATTAACCCGAAATGTGCTCCTTTTTGAGAGAGAGCATAGTCATTCCAAAAAATTAATAACTGTTATTTGATAAAGGTTTGAAAATCAAGACCGTGAATTCAGCTACTGTGAAATGTAAAAATTAATTCCTGAAGGCAGTCCTAAGGATGACTTCTTGACGCTGCCACACTGCTGTGAATACAATAAAATCTCAAGGGTTCCTCCTCCAGCCACTGACTGACTGGACCCCCTCTTGGCCAAGGCAACCCCTAAAACTGAGTTGCTAGAGATGAGAAAGGAGATCAGACCTGCATCATCATGGTCCCCTCACACCTTAGAGATGTCCTCTGTGACCCATTAATGGCCTAAGGCTCTGCAAGACGCACCTGCAGGTCCTCCAGATACAGAGTCAACCACTTGGGTCTGGGCACATGTCCTGTAGTTTGTCTCTCATTGATGGACCTTTATCTTAATTCAGCATTCCTTTTCCCTGACTCCTGGTCTGTTAGAGCCTCACTCTTTCAGCCAACTGTCAAACTAAAGAATCTTCCAACCCAGGGTGGCTCCCGTGGCTCAGTGAGTAGGGTGCCAGCCCTATATACCAAGGGTGGCAGCTTCAAAACTAGCCCCAGCCGAACTGCAACAAAAAATAGCCAGGTATTGTGGTGGGCACCTGTAGTCCCAGCTACTCGGAAGGCTGAGGCAAGCAAATCGCCTAAGCCCAGGAGTTGGAGGTTGCTATGAGCTGTGATGTCATGGGACTCTACCAAGGGCAATAAAGTGAGACTCTGTCTCAAAAAAAAAAAAGAATCTTCCAACCCACCTATAACACATGGGCCCCCAGCTTTCAGATAGCCTACCTTTTGGGGGGAAAGCAGCATATCCCTTCTAGGTATTGATTTACAACTTTGTAATCCCTGTCTCCCTGAAATGTATACAACCACACTGTAACCCCACCACTATACCTCCACTTTCTGGAAGCTTCTTGGGTGTGTCTCTGGGTCATGGTCCTCAAATCTGGCTTTGAATAAACGTCTTTAAATTGTTTTACAAAGTATGGCTTCTTTTCCATCAAGACTGCTTAGCTAGAATGAGGTGTGGCAAGGGCTCGCCGTCCCTCTTCCATTTCACAGGGGGAAGGAAGATCATGTTACATCTGATTTAAATGGTCCCAGAAAAGGTAATTTACCACATGGCCGATGAACATTTTATTATCAAGAAGGAGATTCTTTTGTGGCACTGAATCCTCAACAACAGACAGCAGGGTTGACGATGCCTGGCACCATGTTTAATGACTTCAGAAAGCTGCCAGGCACAGAGTGTGACAAAGGGGAACTGAAGCCTCATGTTTTGGCTAAGTGGGAAGCAGGGAGCTCCTTCCAAATTCCGTTTTGAGAAGCCCTGCCATTTCCCAGCCCACCTTCCCCTAACGAGGGAACCACACTACTGGAAGGCACCGTTGAATACACTCTGGACAAAAGATAGGTTTGAGGGTTCACGTTGATCCTGGCAAGGGAGAAACATGATTTGGCCCTTGGTTTGGAAAACGGAGTTAGGGAAATAGAAGAAGAAATTAAACATGACTCGCTGAGCTAATTACCCAGGATGCACACTGTGAATCACTCCAGAAGACACGTTCTCAGCACAATAAAAAGACGGCGTTGCCAAATATAAACACAACTCCAACTCCTCATACTCCTGTCTTCCCAGGAAAAGCTGCTGCTTGCTGGATTTTTTTCCTCTTTGCGTGAAT